CCTCATCAAAAATATCCCTAAAAAAGAAAGATTTCAATGCAAAAATGTGGGAAGATAAAGATCAGAAAATCATATTGCACCCCATGATCTTGGGTACTAGTCTTATTGCCGATAATGACTTGAAAATTTCTGTTGCATAGTATAGCATTAATGACATATGTTCTATTTCTGCATGGAATCGCTTGTATTAAATTATATTTACCCCTTGCCTCCATACGGTATCGTACGTTGCTGATAAATCAATGAAAACTGTAGATATTTCTAAATAGTTGTTTTTAAAAGCCCGTTTCTATCTAGTTAGTTACTGCTAGGACTTGTCTGTACACCTGCGACTTGGACGAAATCCTGCTTCTTCCACGGGTATATCTTGAAGTATTGTTTGGCTAATTCTATTATACAGTATTTTTTCAAAAAATGTGTGGATCAGACTTTAAAAGTGCAATGGGACGGTAATTTTTTGGTGAATCGTTAACTTTTCCTGGTTTTAAAATGGCGACGATTTTTGCTCTTTTTAGTCGATGAGGAACATTTCCCATCTGAACAATGTCGAAGAAGAAATTTTCAAGCCATTTGCTAGTAAATCTGCCACTCCGGTTTAGAAACTCAGCATGAATGACATCAAAGTCAGTGGCTTTTCCCGTTTTCATTTCATTAAGAGCTTCCGTGTTCTCTTCATAGGTGAAAGGGTTGGAATATGGTTGGAATACTCTGTTTCAAGTGGATAAGTAAATTTTATGTTTTTAAAGTTTCTTAACTTTAATTGTGTGTAAGCGGTTTTGAGATACTCTAAAGATAGATATTATGTTGGACGCCACTTGGTTTGGTGTTCCTAGATTGGTTGGGCGGTCGGGTGGGTACTGCCTCTTAGTTTTCGAAACAGTCACAGGCTTGTCTACTCGAGTTTTTAAAATCTAAATTTTCAACTGTCTCAGTCCATTTCTCGTGCCTACCGGTATCAATGCTGTGGAGTAATTCGTCTGCAGTTTCCTGCCTTCCGTCTTCACAGAATTTTTCATACCATTTGTCGCTCTTCTCAGGTTATCCCCCTAAAAATATACTCTGTGATACCTTCTAGGAATTATTGCTTTTGCTGATGTTATTGTTGCTCCTATTAATTTGTCGGATTTTATGCTTTTTGGTTGGATCCAACCTAAGCATTTATTAAGATTACTAGATAAAACAAGCCAATATTCGGAACGAATAGGCACTGAAAGAAGAAGAAGATAAAACAAACCAGTTAACTTTCCTGAAATTCCATCTGGGACGTAGAAACGATCTTATAATTGGAATGCTAATACCGATTTTGATGAGAATGGAGCGGTGTTGGCTATGGGGAAAATCGGGGGAACCTTTCTTGATGCTGATAGAGGTTGGCCTTTGTTGTCAATGGTTAGAAAACAAAGATAAGGATTTCACTCCTTCCTCCAAGCTGCAGACCTAAAAGTGCCTCTATCCTTGACGTCGAAAAAAAAGTGGATACCACGTTATTCTGACTACTAAAAAAGGGACGGACAATTTTTGTTATTGCTGAAGACTGTTAAAATCCCCTATATATTTGGCTGGGTGTTCGTAAGAATTAAGACCATATGTAGGCCAAATAATAGCAGGGGGCTTATAAATATTAGCTATTATGATATCGCAGATTTTCAGTCACCAGTGTACCTCAAATTTTGTCAAATATGACTAGCAATTTACGAGATAATTTGTCGTTTCCAGACTTTGGGGCCACTCTGTATATAGTTAAAACTTCCTCATTGTTGTTTGTAGAATTTTTAGTGATTTTCGTAAATTTTCTTTTCTTTAAATTTCACTTTATACCATGGATATTATCTATCGTTTTGATCTTCTATTATATTTTGCAATTCATTCAAATTATCTGCAATTATAACCGTATCATTGGAGTAGCGCAAATTATTGATAACTTCCCTATTTTTTATAATGTCCTCGGTTGGCTCAAATATAGCTTCTTGGAATATAGCCCCACTATATAATATGTTAAACATTATGGGAGACAATACACAGCCTTGTGTAAGTCCTCTTAGTAATTTTACTTATTTTGATAGTTCATTATCTATTTTTGTTTTGACTTTTTGGTTCTAGCATAGATGCGTAATTATTGTAATATCTTGTTCATCGATATATTTTCCCTTAAGATATCAATAAGTTTGTCATCTTTAACCTTATCAAATAACTCAAAATAGACCTAAAACAGTGGAAACACCATAATGAGGTCTTACTGACAGAGGATAGATGTAAATTCCAAGAGATCGAAATGGAAGAAATATCCAAACATACACTAATATTTCAGATAACAACCGGAGAATTAAGTGATGCCCTCAAAAGATCGAAAAACGGTAAAGCAGCAGGACCTGGAGACATCCCAACTGAGTTGGTAAAGTATGGACCAAAAATATTACATGAGATGAAACTACTGGAACCGTGATTTGTAATTGTACCTGTACAAACAGTATTGCTGGAGTACCAAGAAAGTTAGAAAATCAAACCGAAATCAATGGATTAACAGCAGTAATTGAAAATCTTACAATAAGTTCACGGACTATTGCAGACCAGTTTCACATTTATAATTTCACAGCCTTCAAAATTTTGAAAATAAATAAATTCCGTTCGTATAAATTTCAATGTCATCAAGAACTAACAGGAGATTTTGAGAGATGTTCAAAATGTTCAAATGTTCAAAATTTTAGGATTTGGTCGGCAAGAAAGCCTGAAAATGTTATTGAAAACAATACCCAATATCGTCGAAAAATAAATGTGCGGTTAGGAATATTTAGACACAATATTATTGGACCATTTTTCTATTAGGAAAATGGACCGCCGGAGTGATGAAGTAAATTTGATTGACATATATCAGTTTCACTTTCCAAACAAACGTTGTTTAGTATGGATAATTTGTATTTTTGTTTATTTTTTCATTTTTTTTATTGAATCTTTCCGCTTTTTGCAATATCTAAGTATTCTAATAGTTACTACAACAATTTTACAAGGTTGTGTAAATAATAAAGCATGTTGTTTTATAAAAATAGCAATAAAATGCATATATCAATAAAGTAAGGTTAGAATGTCGCTAATTTATAATCTTAAACTATACTTCATAGTAATAGAACATTGAGTTGTAATGGTATTATCGTAAAAAACCCTATACTTAAAAGAAAAAGCAGCAAAGAAAGCAAAATGTTAACTTTATAGAAATTAAAAAGTCTTGATATTGGGCATTTCAACTTTTATTTGGAAAGTAATAACAACACTATGGCCGCCATGACGTCACACTCCGGCTGTCCATTTATATTCAGAACAGTTTTCAGAACAATTTAAGCTTACTACAAGAAGAAATTTTACCTATACAGAATTAACTCCAGGTGAAGAAGAAATTTGATTTCAAATAGATGGGTGCCCTGCGTACAATAGCTTGTATGTTAAGGAATTTCTTAAAAACAATTTTTTGATTGGACCTAACTGTAACATTAAGTGACCTCCGAGATCAGGAGATCTAGCTCTAAATGAGTATTTTATCGGGGGCATCTAAAATACAAAATTTAATTTGTCCAAAAATTGACAGATATTAAAGCATTCAAATGCGAATTAATGAAGAGTGTTCAAAAATATCGATACGCGTTCTGTCTAATATTTAACGAGAATTTTACAATTGATTGGGATACCGCTTAGTACAAAATGGCGGATTGTTTGAATATTTGTTATAGTTTTATGATAAGAAATTATCATAAACTATTTTTCATTCTTAATGATGGTATTAGATTTTTGCCGCTTATACGTATTTCGACCTCTTTAGGTCTCATCAGAGCGGGTGCATCGTCTGTTAATGTGCATTGAAACAAAAATCTAATATCGTCATTATGTTTTATTTCTTGTCTCTGTTTGGAGTACCAGAAACTGAATTCACTACGAATTTTGACCATGATGAACGGCAGGTGGTATGCATATTTTAGATTCTCTTGCCGAGTAATTCATCAAGGTGTTTGCTTTGCAAGTTATAGAAGGCACAGTGGTAAAAATTTGAAAAATTTTAATTCAGTTTCGCCAGGTAGGAAATCGTATGATTTCTCTTGTTAGTTTTCATTCGTTCTTTAATTAATAAAAATGTCCAGTTACAATTATTAATCACGGTTATAATGGTTGCAAACTTTTTTAAAAACCTTGAATTGGTGTATTAGAATATCTTACGCTAAATAAAGATCTGACAGTGATTGCACTATTGCCTGAATAAAACATTTAAAAAACGCATAAAACATATCTTACGCTAAATAAAGATCTGGCAGTGATTGCACTATTGCCTGAATAAAACATTATTGCTGATTTTTTCTAAACTGAGTACATTTCATTAACTTGATTGCTTTTTAAACAATAAATCATAAAATACAAAAATATTGACATTTCAATTATTGTTAATGTCTAAATGCATTTTGACCAAAAGCAAACCGTTATTTACATTCTGCACTACGTGTGGCTTCTTTTACAACAATAAACTAGTAAATGTATTATATGTTTGCAATATTTGTTTTCAGTACAAATTTCAATCCTCTACAATAGTATCTCATGAGTTTTGATGTACATTAGTGAAGCTGGAATTCATCAGTTTAGCTTAGTTCACCACCTGGTATATTAGTTTTTTGCATATCCAGTTTTGTATAATTTTCAAAAAAGATTTCAGTACATGATTCATTAGGGCAGTTGTCCGATGGTCTCAATATTCTTTTGCTTTATTTTTTCCGGTATTGGAATAAATGTTCATGTCAGCCACTATTGTTTCGATATCATACCCATCGAATATACTATACAGTTTTTAAGTTTGAAAATTATCTCTAACGATTCATAATCAATTAGCTTTATTAACTCTACAGATAGTTCTTCGGGTCCTATAGCTGTTCTTTCTTTAGTTTGTTTTATTTCCTAAACTATTCAACTTGTATTTAAATGATATTGCATAAATTTGGATGAAGTTTATTTAACAATTGTTATTTTAGGAAAAACGAATGGTTGTGTTCGTGGAAGCATCCGTAATGGAGGATAACCATTTAGAAAGCTATAAGGCTTTCGCGAACATTAAAGAAAAATTGATGACGTTTAGAGATGGAAAAGACGATCTCACCGACAAAATAGATTTCATCATTTGTTTAGGAGGCGACGGAACCCTTCTCTATGCCAGCCAGTTGTTCCAGCAATCAGTTCCTCCAGTAATGGCATTCCATCTTGGCTCTCTAGGTTTTCTCACACCATTCCAGTTCGAAAATTTTCAAGAACAAGTTAATAATGTTCTCGAAGGTAAGTTATTGGAAAGTATTTAATGCTTTAAATTTCTAAAAAAAAACTTATTCCATTCCTAATATTGCTGCTTTATGATGTAATACCCGCTAATTTTTCTGTATAGTTTTATTCTATTCGCTAAAATCCTTTAAGCAACTTTGTGACAGATTTGAAGTGACAGACGAAAGTATGATAGGCCATAGTGTCTTTTTGTCGAAGGTATAGTCGAAAAGAAGACGTGATAGCTATCCGACGAGAAGACGAATAGACAGTTGACAGATGAGACAGAACTGACAGTTGGCATGACAGTTAAAAGCCGCCCTCTTGTGACGCCACTGGTTCGTTCCCATTGGAGAGGTGGGGCAGCGGTAAATATCAAAGGAAGCCGCCGAAAAAGTTCTCACGCTCACCTGTCATACCTGCCACGTGTCACACCTGTCACACCTACTACGTGTCACCACTGCACACCTGGCGGCATATCAAAGGATTCCGCTTTTTCCCACGGTCCGAAAAAATTTCCCACACCCAAGCGACCCAATACCAGCAGAGAATGGGTTACTTGGACCACACGATCAAAGTCTTACCAACAGGCTCACAATTCAGAACCAGTTAGTAATGATCGAAACATCAGACACTTTATCTCTGAAGTAAGCTTCTGGATCTTCTTGACTTCTTATTTTACATAGTTATTCGTTGAGGTCTGGCGGGAATGTTGATAAACATTGGATTTGCGACGCTTAACTAAGCACAGTACAGAACCCGTCAGAATAGAAACCATACACGATGGGCATATTATCGCATACAGGATCAAAAAGCATGAAGTATAAAGTCGAAAAAGTGCAAGGCCTTAAGCTTATAGTGCCTAAAAGACTTAATGTGCAATGTATCACGAAATTTAACGAACAATATTGAGTTCTAAATGTTCACAAAAGGTACTCGTTGTAGGCATTCCCTAACAAGATGACTTGTTTCGATAATCTATAAGAAAAACGGTCGTTTACTTTTTATACAGGGTACGTCATCAGTGCGAAGTACTCCATTTACTCATTTGTCGTAAGAGATACGAAAAAAATTATTTAGGTAAAAGTTGGAACACAGATAGAACCATCCTCTAAAAATATTTTTAAATTTTAAATACAGTCTAGTAAACTATATTAAAAATCTTTTGAACAAAAATATATTTTTTGATGTCAAATTCCTACAATTCTACGGGATGTTAATTTTGCCACGAAATTAATAAAAAAAAACGTAATTATTTTTTAAACTACCTCCTATAATACAGCCCAACCTTAAATTGAAAGAAACACGAACATCGAGAAAAGTCCAAAAATGTAAAAATATACAGGATGTTCAATTAAAAAGAGAAAAGTTTGTTCCAACCATCAATATGGATGACCTTTATATTAGAAAATATTTTTAAGGTATGGTTTAACTATTTATCTATGCTCCAACTTTTAAGTATCCTAATATCTAAATAATTTTTCCGTATCTCTTACGACAAATGAGTAATTGGATTTCCTCGCACTAATGTCTCACCCTGTATGTTAGAAATCTTTAATCAGTTTAATTATTTATAATATTGTAGGTCACGCAGCTTTAACATTAAGAAGCCGTTTGAGGTGTATAGTGATGAAAAAGGGCGACGGTCAAAATAAATCAAATGACAAGCCAACTAAAGTTCCTACAAACGTTTTGGTATTAAATGAAGTAGTTATTGATAGGGGTCCCTCACCTTATTTATCAAATATAGGTAAGTTTATTTGAAGAAATATTATCGTAGTCTCTTTTTAGGTGTACAAAGAATATGTAATGATTCTCAGCGACGTGTTTTTGTGCTTCTCTATCGCTTCTCCATTTTCTTTGGATTTATTTTCTTTAGACCAACATTTAATTGTGAAATGTGTTGATGATAAAAAACTAATTATGGCTCGCCATATTTCCTTTTTGACTTTATATGCAGGGTGTCCAGAAACTCTCCTGGCAAACGAAGACTCAAGATTCCTCAGATAACTTTAAGACAATTTAACCCAACTCATCTAATCCAAAAATGCTTCTTAAAGGAGCTAGAGCTCTTTGAAGATGGCGCCTTGTAATTAGTTTTTTTAATACCTCCAGAACGCTTCTAGTTAGAAAAACGAAAACTGGTTCGATTATTTATCGTCTATTGAATCGATATCGTTATTGTCGAACAATAACAAGGAATACTAAGCTTAGGTTGGTCAATGCCCTTATTTTTCCCATTGCTACATATGCAGCTGAAACATGGACTCTCAAAAAAATCGATAGGAGTAAGATCGAAGCCTTCGAAATGTGGGTATATAGAAGAATTCTACGCGTGTCCTGGACAGAACATAGAACCAACCTGTCAATTCTGGAAGAGCTTCATATAAAAGACAGGCTACTAAAAAAAGTAAACCAAGCCTACCTAACTTACTTCGGCCACATAGCTAGAAGAACGGGCACCATGGAACTATTGGTAGTAGAAGGTAAGGTAGAAGGCCGAAGACCAAGAGGAAGATCTCCAATACGATGGGTGGACCAAATGAAGAGTTTGGTGGGAAAATCCCTACATGAAGCCGTCCATATGGCACAAGATCGCAGTCAATGGAGACAGCAGACCAATAATATTTAGGGTGTCACTACGCCCTGACAAGGGCTAAAGGATTGAGGAGGAGGAGATTGAATCGATTCCATTAATTGCGAATTTCTAGTACCGGTCATAGGCGTCCGTTTTGGGTAGGTCAACAGTTGATTTAATACATATCTTTTTTGTCTTAAACTTTTAAGCATTCGTTATATTACATTATTTTTAAAAATAATGTGTTTATTACGTTGGAACGAAACTAACACTAACACAAAAGAGCAAGTATCAAAATAGGCAAAGTAGATAGTTACAAAAGATGCTCGATGTAATGAACACTATTTTCTATGTATAAATTTGCCCTTTTGCTTAAAGAACACCGAATTCTTGCAAAAATTTCAAAGTTGTTTGTAAATTGGTTGCAAGCATCTGGTATCCTCATCTAGAGTTGTGCACGATTTTGTATCGGAACGGAATAAACAAATTCTTTTATGTGTCATCAAACACAATAATGGCAAGGATTAAAATCCGGCGACCTTGTTGGTCAAGCCACTGGACCGCCTCTTTGAATCCATTGGTCTTCGTAGTTATTATCAAGAAAGTCTCGTGCATTTCTGCTAAAGTGGGCCGTCATGTGGAAATCATAAGTTTTGCCGAATATTTTAAGGCACATCATCTTATTTATCAGGTAAAACATTTTGCAGGAAATGTAAGTAATTAGCACCATTTAAATGGGCAGGCAATTCCACAGGCCCAAGTATATATTCGTTAAGTACTCCTATTCAGACGTTTAGGCTAAACCTAAGCTGATGCTTAAATTCTTAAACAAAGTGGGGATTGTCATCAAAATACGAATTATACTATGCATTATGTACACTCACCGGCAAAATTAACGGAACACCTTAAAATTGGGACATGTTAGATGTCTCGAATTTCCTAAACCTGTTGTCCGATTTTAGTGATTTTTTTAGTATGTTATAGGTATATTATTTAAGAATATCGATGTAATAATATTGTTGCTAGACAGGTCAATGTCATTTTATACCGGGTGTAACAATCCTACTGTGTTTTTTCCTTAAAGTTCGGAACACCCTGTGGAATATTCTAGCATATATAAAATATTGAAATTAAAACTTAATTATAGCCTCAGGCTTTCTTAACATTTTCTTTTTTGATTCATTTGCTTATGTTTGATAATAAAAAAGTTAGGTACGTTAACAATTAGCCATGTTTTTCATCAATAAATCCTCATTTTCTGCTTAGTTTAAAAACAAGCCTAAAGTAGGCTATGAGAAGTTAACAATTTAATGCACACACCGGCAAATTTAAAGGAACCTGTTATTAATGCAATATTTCTTTATATTTGTATTTTATAGACTATATCTACATAGCTTTGAAAGCTCCTTGTCACAAGAAAGTCTTAAATGTCAAAATGTCAAATTAATTTGTTTATTTGTATTGTGTTTTACATTTTACAGTCATTCTGTCTGTTCATAACAAGTACAAACTTGTATTTAATTGAGCGCACAATAAGAAAGAGACTTAAAGAAGCCGGTCTCAAGTCATATGTGCCAATAAAAGCTCCCAGACTCCAGAGACACCATCGTTTAGCACGACTACAATTTGGTCGAGTACATCAAAATTGGAATGATAACCACTGGAGTCAAATTCTCTTTACGGACGAGAGCCGTTTCTGTGTAAATTACATCGACGGTAGAGAAAGATTGTATTAACGCCAAGGAGAACGAAATGCCCCTTTCAATTTTACTACGACCGTACCTTTTGGTGGAGGTTCAATTATGGTGTGGGGCGGTATATGTTTGGGAGCAATAACAGAGTTAGTGGTGATTGATGGTGGAGCATTAACAGCAGATAAGTATATCAGAGATATTCTCCAAGACCATGTGGTACCTTTTTCACCATATATTGGCGAAAATTTTATTTTATAGTGTAAGAGTGTAAGTGTAAGATATTTCTTATTACAAGTGGGTATAACAACGATGAATTGGCCAGCTTGTTCCCCAGACCTAAACCCGATAGAGGATATGTGGGACATGCTAGGCAGAAAACTTAGGGCACGGGTTCCTGCTATTCAAAACAGAGAAGAAGTCACAATTGCAAAAGATTGAGGAATGGGAGAGGCTGCCCAACAACTGATCGATAGCGTTATCAGAAGTATGAGAAGACGAATAACTGCAGTTGTAAGGGCTCGTAGGGGAAACACACGCTATTAAAGCCAAAAAAATGCATAAAAAACAATTTAAGTTCAAACTGTACAATAAAGTTAATGCATTTAAAATCCGTATTTTGTTGAGTCTGACATCTTTGTGTTTTATTTCTTCTTAAACAGGTTTTATATTGTACTACCATTGTAATATAAATTCAAAATACTTCACCAACATTCGTATTATGATATTATCTAAACAGTATATAGACTAGAGAGAAAATACTCAGATTTTATGGTTGTTCCTTTAAATATGCTGGTGAAACTAAGAAGAAAATGAGCATTTATTGATGAAAAACATGGCTAGTTGTTAACGTACCTAACTTTTTTATTATCCAACACAAGCAAATGAATCAAAAAAGAAAATGTTAAGAAAGCCTGAGACTATAATTGAGCTTTAATTTCAATATTTTATATATGCTAGAATATTCCACAGGGTGTTTCGAACTTTAAGGAAAAAACACAGTATGATTGTTACACCCGGTATAAAATGACGTTGACCTGTCTAGCAACAATATTATTTCATTGATATTCTTAAATAATATACCTATAACATACTAAAAAAATCACTAAAATCGGACAACAGGTTTAGGAAATTCGAGTCATCTAACATGTCCCATTTTTAAGGTGTTCCGTTAATTTTGCCGGTGAGTGTATAATAAAAATTCCATTTTTTTTAATTTAGCTTTGTCGAAACCAAAATTTACCTAAAAAAATTATCATTTTGATTTTTTTGATTTTGTAACCATCTAGCGAATTCTTCACGAGGAGGAAAATCTTCTTGTAGCAGAACCTGTACCTTTGTAAAATGAAAAAGATATAAATTTTCGTTGTGTAATGCCGGGTCCAGACCAAGCAGACAAAACGAAAACACAATTCTGAAACAAAAACACGATAAACCGACGACAAAATTTGTCGTCAAAAGACAAAACAAAATTGAGACAAACTGTCCACACCAGAACAACAAAATATAAAAACAAAATTCAGTTGGTGACGTTGTTGTTGTGATTAGTGTTGGTTAACCATGTGGCGTTTTAATCAAGAAAAAAATGAAACTGAAGATTTATTGCTAGCCGCAAGTTGTTTTTTTTTTGCTCTCATCATCATCCCAGGTTGCTAAACGAAAACCCAAACGTCGTCTTTCTCTAGCATACTGGTTGTTAACATTCTTTTTTTTATTTTCAACATCATTTAGTGGCACATTTAGCGATAAAGAAATTTCCTTTAATGCATCGGCTTTCTTGCAGCGATTTTTATAATCTTTATTTTTAGGGTCCCATAATATCGGATGCTCCCTGTAAAGTTCTATTAACTTGCATGTATTTTGTGTATTCCACTTTTTGTCTCCCGACATGTTTAGAAAAATACACTAGTATTTATTTAATCACTACACAACAGAAAAATACACTTGATTTTGATAAAAATTGTACATTCTATTTCTCCTACTGCTTAACTTGTTTTGGCACGCACACGCGTCCACACTGCGTCGACAACTTGTCTTCAAAAACACAGACAAAACACAGACCTTTTGATCTTTACCGACCTGAGACGGGACCTGAAAAAGTTTTCAAATCTGCAAACAAAACAAAATTGTTTCACAAATGTCTCAACAAATGTTTTCGATTTGTCGCCACTTTGTCGCGAAACATGAATGTTTTTGTTTTGTCTGCTTGGTCTGGACCCGGCATAAGATATTTTATACGAAAGATTTTAAAATTGTGAAATACATGGCAGATAGTGTTAGAACGCTAATTTTTGGATTTTCCTAAACTTCCATTAAAATAACATATTCATGTGCTGCTGTTACTATTGAGAGCTGTAAATATTAACTGAATGGGATCAAAATTGAGAAATTTTTCAGGGTATCTACGTTGTGTTACTCGACCGTTAACTAAAGCATATCAGCGCATTCCTCATTAGTAAAAACCATTTTTGTTAAATTGAAATTGCTATATTTGAATGCCAAAAAGTAAAAAACTAAAAGGCAAATTTTGCGAAACATCCACAATTTGGTGAGGCCAACGGTGGGGGAAATCTTTTTTTGGACATCTACGTCTGGGAACAAGACACACTGGCATCTTTTCGGTAGAGTAGGATACTAGGCCAGAACACCCCAGTTCTTCTTAACCACCAATCACCAGAGTGGTGGTCTTGCCACTCAATGAACAATGAACTAAAATAAAAAACTAAAAATTTATAAATAACCATACCTATTACCGTAAATCAGAAAATGTTTCAGAAATTAGGCCGTAAACTAATAAATAATATTAACCATAAATTTCAGATCCCTGGCTCAATTTCTTTTTCTGTCCTCCTGCTCTTTTTTCTTCATTATCCCAAAAGTCAGACAGTGTACTTCTGTCCATTCTTTCTCTCCTCTCAACATTATGTTTACAATGTTTCTCTCATCCAGCCCGAAATCCATTCGCCTCTCGAAATCTCCCCTCTCATTTGCCCATTTCTGGCAGTTAAAAATGTGGGCGGGAGCGTCCGGTACTCCACAAGCAGTACAGTCTGCCGAGGCAGATTTGCCTATTCTACGTGTTAAGGTGCCAAAACTACCATGTCCGATCAGAAACTGCGTCAGGAAATAGTCTAGTTTTCTGAACTCACATTCCCACCACGATCTTAGATCGGGAATAAGCTCCTTGGTCCTTGTCTTTCCGGTATCATCCGCCCATTCTCTCTGCCACTCTACTATCGTTCTTTCTCTCTCATTCTCATCTATATTTACATCCATCCTCCTCGCATACACCCTCGCTCGCTCGCACCCTCTCATTTGAAACTATATGCGCTAGATACTCTGAGAAGCATTCTCCTTTGCGAAGTGTCCATCAGCTTAGCGTATTTCTCAGTGTTTAATTTAATTTTAATAGTGAAAATTTAATAATCTAGTATCACGAATGCTTAAAAAGTAAAGACAAAAAAGTAATGCGTTAAAATATCCATTGACCTACCCAAATCGGACGCCTATGATCGATACTAGAATTTAGCAGTTTATGAAATTGATTTAACCTTTTCATAATAAATAATCGTACCAGTTTTCGTTTTTCTAAATAGACGCGTTTTGGAGGTATTTAAAAGATAAATAACAAGACGCCATCTTCAAAGAGCTCTAGCTTCCTTAGCTTATTTTCGGACTAGGTGAATTGGGTTAAGTTGTCTTAAAATTATCTGAGGGATCTCCGGTCTTCGTTTGTCAATAGAGTTTCTGGACACCCTATATATTGTGCCAATTCAACGATAATAAAGCTGAAAGCTGAACATAGAAAATCTAGACAAAGATCTTAAACAATAAAGGAAAGGTACAAACAGAAGTAATGATACAAAAGCAAAAAAGATTCTAACAAGGGCGCTCGAACAGAAATATCATATTTCTAATCAGACAAAGTCATAGAGATTAAAATCCTTATTGTGGTTCGTCAAACTCAAGAAAGCTTTTAACCAAACGAAAAAAAAAAAAAGATTTTCATTTCACGATTTATGTGGTTTTCTTTTTCTGTCTTATTTTCTCGATAATATTTACAAAAAAACTGGATACTATTGACAAACTACTTGCGTATGATATATTTTATTTATTTATTATGCACATATTAAAAATCCTAAAATTGTTATCTTTATATTATTTTTACCACATCCGCTCTAGTTAGTTTTGCTGTTTTTGGAGAAATAAAGATAACGCAATGGTAATCGTGGTTGAGGAAGCACGAAATAATAAACTGTTTGTCTAACATATTTTTAGGTAGAATTTATCAAATCGTTAACCTTAATTCTGACAAATATAACACGTTTTGTTTTTACTAAAAAATATATGGATAAAAGTTATTGATGCGGATGGCAACGATATTAAAAAAAGCTGAGGGAAATATAGATACTACTCTAGTTATGAGAAATATATTCCTTACAACATTGGCTACATACAGGGTGAGTTTTTAGTGCGACATTGGTCGATAATTCCATTATGATACAGAATAGATATCCAAAAAAGTTACTTAGAAAAATGTAGGCAATGATATTCTTCAGACTTGGAAAATATGTCGAACTCTACAGGCTGATTATTAACAACTATGCGATAAAGCAACTATACAATTTTTGAATAGGACACACCGTATATTTTCTCATATTTAGATTCCTCCACAATCCCTGTTCTTATAATATGGCATTGGATAAATTTGACCGTACTACACAGGGTATATAACGAGTTAACCATTTTTATTTTGAAATCGCTACGAAATAAAACTGTCTGATAAAACCCGAATAATGCTAAAACAAAGAAGGGAAGTGAAGTAGCAACATACTAGCAAGACTAGTAGAAAATTCAATCGCAAATAGAAAATCTATAAGAAAACAAGAAAAGCATTAATTGGGAAGAAGCAAATCGTTGCTCTAACAAACGAAAACACCATAATTACAGACAGAAATGAAATAATACAACTCGTGTCTAAGTTCTACAGCGAACTATACAAAGCTCCCGAAACATTTAAAGAAGTTCAGAAAGAATCAGTAACCAAGACTATATATATATATATATATATATATATATATATATATATATATATATATATATATATATATATATATAATATATATATAGAAAAGAAATTTAATCTTTGCAGATAAGTAAAATAGTAAACTCTTAACTATTGGGGAAATCTGCAAGAAGGACTCTAATGAGTATCAATTGTTTCGCCGAACGTTTTCGCCAAAAAGAATTAATTTGGCTTCCTCAGGGCTGAAAGAGAAGAAATTATAATTAGCTACCATATATTATCTATTAAAAAACACTGGTGATCTTACTGTAACTTAGAATTGTAGAGTTAGAATGTTAAAAAACTTAGCTAGTAACAACATAGTAGTTTTTTTGTTACTATCTGAAAAAAAATTATTACAGTTAGAAATGTATGGTAGCTTTGAACTTGAAACGCAAAGGTGTACCCAAGGTTAATCGAAAAACCCAATGTAACTACATTTAAAAGGAAATAAATCTTAGTTATTGCCGACAATTCAAAGATTTATTTCCTTTTAAATGTAGTTACATTGGGTTTTTCGAATAACCTTGGTTACACCTTTGCGTTTCAAGTTCAAAGCTACCATACATTTCCAACGGTAATAATTTTTTTTTTTCACATAGTAACAAAAAACCATTATGTTGTTACTAGCTAATTTTTTTAACATTCTAACTCTACAATTCTAATTTACGGTAAGATCACCAATGTTTTTAATAGATAATATATGGCAGCTAATTATAATTTCTTTTCTTTCAGCCCCGAAGAAGCCAAATTAATTCTCTTTGGCGAAAACGTTCGCCAAAACAATTGATACTCATTAGAGTCTTTCTTGCAGATTTCCCCAATATTTAAGAGTTTACTCTGTGTATATATATATATATATATATATATATACATATATATATATATATATATATATATATATATATATTGAACCTCTTCTCTATCCTTCCATTGTTGGATATAGGTCTCCCCCAGTTCTCTCCATCTTTCCCTATCTTGAGCTGTTCTCTGCCATGTGGGACCTCCTTGTTTCCTGATGTCATCTTTCCACCTCATCAGCTGGTCTGCGTCTGTTACAATGCAAAGAGATCAAGAGGCAGCAGACCACATATATATATATAATATATATATATATATATATATATATATATATATATATATATATATATATATATATATCATCATATATGATGACTTATTTAAAATGGGACTCCATTTTCAGCCCATCTTCAGATCCCCGATAAAAGGTTCATTCATCATCATCATTCTCTTTGCCTTTATCACTATACCAGGTCGGTTTCCGTAATTACATATCTCCGTAATTTTTGCTTATACCATTATCCATCCCATTTACCAGCATGTCCGGCCCCCAAATCTTCTTTGGTCTTCCTCTTCAAGTCCTCCCAGACATGTAAAAATCAGCAATTTTTCGTATTAGATGATTATCGACTGGATGGTCAACATAACCTAACCACCTTAACCTTTGCTCTCTCATTTTGGCATCCATTGCTGCCACTCCTAGGTTTCCCCTAATATACTCATTATTAATTTTATCATTTTTTGTGACTCCACACATTCATCTTAGTATTCTTATTTCTACCACATGCGTTCGTTTTACTGCTTTCTTTTTAACTGCGCAACATTCAGTTCCTTACATCATAGCTGGTCTTATGGCAGTTTTATGGAAATTTCCCTTCAGATTCCTTGGAATCTTTTTCTCCATATTTTTTGCCATTACTGTGTATGTACTAACTATGCTGGAAATGAAAATAAAGAAATTATTGCTGGAATTAATAGACAGACGTTTATGCAGCATCATTTATTTAGTCAGTAAAGTGTACATACAGTTGTACAGTGTACATAGACTGGCCTTGCCAGCAACGAGCAGTGACGACAACATACATTGCAGATGTTCGATCCATTTCTTATTAGCGCATCCAAACTTCCCTTTCGCTCTCTCCCGGCCAAAAAGAGACATTGCTATACTTACTGAATGTAAGATAGAGACATAACTAACAACGAAAACCAAGATCTACAGCTCTACAAACTGCTCGTTGTATGTTAATATATACGTCTATGGTTTTTCTTATATCACAAAATAACCTAATCTTGATCAATGTTGCCAACTAAAATAATAATAAATTTACTAAAGGTAGATAACCCACAATACACCCTGACATTTTACAGAAACTTCATACTTAAGGATAAGGAAATGTCTGGAACTTCAAGAGAATTATGTTAAATAAAATCTATGATATTATGTTCTATACATATAATCACACACTAACTGTTTTTAAGCATGAATTTTAAGCATAATATATTTTAAACTATTTTAGATTTATTTTTGGATGGTAAACACATAACTTCGGTACAAGGCGATGGTCTAATAGTCAGCACACCAACCGGTAGTACCGCATACGCAGTAGCAGCAGGTGCTTCTATGATACATCCCAGTGTACCTGCGATTATGGTAACTCCGATTTGTCCTCATTCCCTTAGTTTTAGGCCAATCGTGGTTCCTGCTGGAGTAGAGCTTAAAGTAAGTATAACAAGAATTACAAGAGTTTTCCTAAAACGTATGAAGATGTGTCAATACTCAATAATAAAATAATTCATGTGAAAGAATTTGGATTTAGTTTTTATGTTTTACAATTCATATATTATTTTACTTATCTTTACATATTTTATATTTAATCTCGTTTTCAAAACAAATTTTGTGACATAATTTTTCTTAAAACGATTTCCGTATTGGATATCCACACCTCAAAACAAATATAAAATGTAATACTCATTACAATCTTTTGTGGTTGAGTTGCATAAATTATAACTGCAAGTTAGCTCAAAAAACTGTAATATGTTACTTTAAAAGAATATTGAAACTCAGGCAACACTGTAACGGAAGTTGTCCTGGTTCAAGTTGTGATGTACGTTGCCTACATCTGGCGCAACACCGCAATAAAAGATGGAATTCTGTCGAGTGTTTGTTGCTCATTTTTTTTTAGTTTTTGTCCAATCCTCATAAAGGAGCCATAACTGTTTCGGATACTAATATAAATAAGTCAAAAAAACTTTTTTAACTATTTATTAGTATATGTTTAATTTATTCCCTATATAAATCAATTTATACTTACTTTTTTTACTTACACATACTTACACTATACTTTTTAAAATTATTTGTAGATATCAGTGTCTCCAGACAGTCGAAATACTTCATGGGTTTCGTTTGATGGAAGAAATCGGCAAGAGCTCGTACATGGAGATAGGTAAATTATCTTTTTTATATTTAATTAATTATATCATTATTATCTTTTGTCTTACTAATTCAGCTAATTCCAAGAAATGTTTATATATTATATAAGGATATAAACCTAGACTGTAGAGATTTCGATGGACTACACACATAGATAAATAATATAATAGTAGAAATAGATAGGCAACTCAATGTAAAAATTTCGTTCATTAGGACCCTTGCGGCTGGGGTCAATACTAATCATCTTTTGGCGGCAAATTCGAATGAACACCCCTTACATACATACCCTTTAGGGCCTCTTGTGGGCTATTTCGTTACTAATTAAAATTTATTGGAAAATAAGATATATAAAAGATGCACATTTTTTTCTAGATATACGTATATTTATTTGTTGTTTAAGATAAAACAGTTATAAAATAATTACATAATATTTATTACACATATTTGCAGAAGTTAAATACTATTATTTTTTGCTTCCTGACAACTTACTATCATCCTTTTTGTAATTTTTCCATGATTTGTACACAACGAACAATACAATAATTCACCATGTTTAGTTTTGTTACTAGCACTACACAAAAATTCTTTGCTACAATAGGTAACTCAAAATAAACTTTAAAAATTAAGTAACCAAATTTAAATTAAAGTTACTAAGAATAAATGCAAACGAAAGTTAAAGATAATAAAATAAAATTGAAAACTTGTAAACAAACGGAAAATCTGTCATTACTTTGGATTGACAGAATTGACATTGCGTCGTTTGATTCTTTTATTTGGTTTATGATTGGTTAAAGTCTTCGTGAGAGAGATAGGCTGTCATTTCTCTTTATTAACTCGCTGGGGTCAAAGCATCGAGCAATAAGACAAAAGAGGGAATCTAATCCTTATGAAAAGGAGACCAAAAAAGTGGCCTCTGATGGCGGACATATCCGGAAATGCGAATGCGCGAAATTTAAATTTTCCGACACTTATCAACAGTAGCTATATAATATTTTTCAAAATGTGTCTTAGACGAGAAAGTTTTAATTAATTATTAATGATAAGAGTCTAAAATGCGACACAATTGTTAAAAAACTTCAATATAAATAAGATTTCGTGTGACATTTGGGATAAACAATAACATAACCCAACTAAATTTGATGTCAAACAAGGAGAGAGACTCTCTTTCCTTGTTTAAAGTGGCCTCTAAAGATCGCACTTCCTGTCTAACAATATGTTTGCCCCCACTACCTTTACATTCCCTCTATTGTCTTTTTGCTCGATGGGTCAAAGTGATGGGGGAATGAACCAAGTCATTCATATAAGATTCCAGGCCATAGACTACACAGGTAGAGAGATTGACTGATGACGGATGACAAGATACATAGATGATAAAATGCAGGGTAGAAGAGTAAAATAAAGGCCACGTAAAAGATGGTACAGCAAAGTGGCCGCGCACGCGCACTATCTTCTGAACATTCGCAGAGCAAGACTGCCCATATTGAGGCCAAAATGATACGAGGCTTGAGCTGTAGCGTCAGAACATTAAATAAATAGTTATTTATGTATTAAGTCGGTAAAGTAACTCGTTTGTTACTCGCCGCTTTCGCTTTGCCCGTTCTGCTCGTAATATCAGACTTCGATAAAGAGGGTTTACTGACGTGGTGCATACTAAATTGTATAGCCAACCATACACAACATTAACAAATGGTCATATTTTGTATAATCTTTTTAAGGCTGGAACATACAAAAAATATATAGTCATAAATACAACTTTTATTTATACTCCATGGACGTATAAATAAAGATTATACTCAGTGACATTAGAAGTGTTACACACAGAAGAAATAATTTCTTGAACTTAATTTGTTTGAAAACATGGTAGATTTACATCAAGAATGAAACGATAAAGTTGTCAAGAATTTTTATTAACAAGTCATCAAAAAAAATTTAATAATGTGCTTGGCGACAAGCAACTTGAATTTCATTTATTAACTGTGCCATAGTCTGTGGAGTATGGTACAAACTGGACAGTCTCCTTCTCATCATATCCCATACAGGTTCGATAGGATTTAAATCCGGGGCACGGGGAGGCCATGGCAAAACATTAACGCCAGCTTCTTGGAGAAAGTCTATAATTTGACGAGCAATATTAGGACGCGCGTTGACTTGCTGAAAAAGGACGTCTCCACGGTCGTCGAGATAAGGCAGTAAAGTAGTTTGTAAGATGTCATCAATATAACGCGCAGCTGTCCTATTCCCTCGAATAAACACAAGTGGTGATCGGCTACCATTGGCAATAGCCTCCCGAACCATTACTTAACTGTTCTACGTACATGCCTTTCAACAGCAAATCGATATCTCGTCGCTCTCCACGTCGGCGTCTTACCATCCTACGACCATCATCCATTCCTAAACAGAATCGTGATTCATCGCTGAATGGTACATTTCGCCATTTTGCCACCCAATGCTACCATTTTCTCATCGAGTTAGAATCTATGGAGAAGCTTTGAGCATATTAACGTGTGTATAAAACCTAAAAATACAATTATATGCATCACTAAGTATTAATAACAAATTTATGTTTTAAATAAAAAATATGATTATTGAATTAAAATATATTATAAACAGCTTACAAATTGTTTATTAGTATCTTTATATTTTGTGTATTCATTACTTATATTTTATTGGAAGTGGATGTTTTAATTGCTATTTTGGAACATTTTAAAAATATTCAATAATGACTGAAAAATTAATCGAGAAACTTTTCTAAGTTCCTGTAAGATTTTGTATGTATACTATTAATTTATTCTCTGAAGTACGGGCCATTACTTTGTTTACATATTTGTATACTAACCTGTGGAACGTTATTCTTGAAGATTTTTTATTAAAATTGCTTCTGTTACTGCTACTACGTTGAGAACAAGAAACCATTATTATGCACTATCACAATTACAGTTTCTATAAAAGTATTATAAAACTAAAAATATTCGAAAAACAACAAACGTAAACAATCATACGCTATCTGTCAAAATTATCATAACAATATGGCCGAAGTCACGTTGTTTTCAGTCACGTGATGCCACAGAATAATAAACAATCAGAATGCCCACTCTGCTTGAAAAATTAAGTACGCACATCTCGTTCGCGCAGACGGAATCAGCTATGTTTTAGTCGAAACCAGTGCTGTTCAGTTGCATTTTACAGTGGCATTGGCCAGTACGGCAACTATAGACATAATATGCACTATTTTATTCTTAATTTTAGTTTAATGTCGACTTTACACTACATGATTTTATCATATGACAAAATCATATGAGATTTGTTATGATTCTTCGTTTCTATGATGTTTTAAAAAATCGTGTTTACACTGAATGATAAGTTATGACTTATGATATGAGTGACAATGAGGTTTTATTGATTTTTCATTTTGTTTCTGGTCATAGAGATATTATATAGACACAGTATAGGTAACAACTATTAGATTTTTAAATTATTATAATTGTGATTATAATGGAAAATAAATCTTTGCTTGCATTGGCTTCTGAAATTTTAATAATAATACGCCGGCAACAACTGCGCGTCCATTTAATAGTAAGAAGAAAAGATAAGATGCTTTTGGGCTCGCAGGTGACTTACGAAGAAATAGTGGACGGGGTATATCAAATTTAGTGTTGATATTATAACAAATTAAAATTAATTAATGCAGAAACTAAACTAAAATTATGACTAAGATGACTATAAAACACTAAACTAAGCATAAATAAATAATAAAAGAAAAATACGACCCAGTAGCAAAGATTAGACAATAGGCTCGATAACAATGCAAAAACAAAAAATAAATAAATAAAGAATGTTGTCTCTCGATAAGAGAATGTCGCTGAATTGACATCAGTTGACTTAAGAATAAGGCGCGATATTTAAATATGTTGCTGTTACCGATATGCCGATATTTTTACCAAAATTCATATGATTTTATCATGCGGAATAGGTACCGTCCTATTCTCCTGTGACAAGCTATGATAAGCCGCATGACAGTGCTTATGACAAAATCATATGACAAATCGCACAGTGTGAACATAGAAATTTGACTTTATGACCAAATCATATGACAAATCACATGATAAATCATGTAGTGTAAAGTCGACATAAGAATAGATTAAATTATTTCAAATGTACTAAATTATTAATCTCTAAAAATTTAAACTAGAGTTCTGACGTAGCTTGTGACAAATTTCTCAAGTCGAATCCATAATTCCGTCTAAAATATGACGATCGCGTGGTGACAAACTTCAAAGGCAACATCTGAGAGTGAGCATTCTGATTGTTTATTATTCTGTGGTTATACTTCTATACGCGCGTTCGACGTTGGAAATTTGTACGGTAGTGAATCGGCAAAATCATTACATATGTAAGATATAGATAAGAGAGAGACAGAAGATATATTTTCTCTCTCTTTCTCTCTCGAGAATAAAAATGTTCCTTTTATAAACATATTTAATGTTTATTAATATTATTATTATTTTCCTGGATTATCCTGGACACTAACCAAAGCAATGGAGAAAAAACTTGAAGCCTTCGAGATGTGGCTATACAGGCGAATTCTAAGGATATCATGGACAGACAAGATAACCAACGAGACCGTATTACGAAGAGTGGGCAAAAAAAGAGAGGTGATGTATACCATTAAAAGGAGAAAGTTGGAATATCTCGGACATATAATGAGAAACAGCACTAAATACAGATTACTGAAGGTAATCCTACAGGGTAAAGTATTCGGAAAGCGAGGAATTGGGAGAAGGAGAATATCATGGTTGAAGAACCTGAGGAAATGGTTTTCCACAACAACAACGAATCTATTTAAAGCATCAGTCAATAAAATAATTATAGCCAGAATGATTGCCAATATTCGGAACGAATAGGCACTGAAAGAAGAAGAAGATTATTATTTTATTAATATTATTATCATGGTAAATTAAACATACGCGTAAGTTATGTATATTGTCATTTTTAAATATTTATGAGTATTGCATTTTAATTTGAATTGTATTATTATATTGAATTATGTTGCAGTGTATTTTATTGTATTTTTATATTAATAACAAAATAAAAGAAAAAATTTTTTGCATTCAATTCTTTTTGTACACAGATGAAAATAAAAATATATATTTTCATTAAAATATTGATTCAATCCTTCATTAATATACTCCTATTACAAATCAAATGTTTATATTCAGCAAACGATGCACCATATACCTATATACCTAATTCTTTTTCTCTTTCTCTCTCTCTTACCTATAGCAGTACATATGTAATGATTGTGTAGATTGACTCCCATATAAAGTTGTAACGGCGAACGCGTGTATAGAAGTATAACTTTTACCGGCAGTCCCACTGGACTGCCACACCCGTTTTTTTTTTTAATAATTAGGATGAGATAAAATTTACGTTCATTTAAATAAATAATCGATTACTGGTATCGACCACAGACATTCAATTTCAGTCAACTTGATTAATATTTGCGGCAGATTTCTTCTTTTTTCAGTACAATAAACTGTTACTTTACTGCTCCAAATAAGTACAATAATGAATGACTTTAATGACGGTTGGCGATAAATATAATTTATATTAATAGTTGTTTTACATTAAATATAATTAAACAAGTAGTAAGCTGATGGACTTGTGCTTTAGAAAGTAAAACTACTGTATACAGAATTACGATACGTATTTTGCTACAAAATTGTGTGTAATATAAGAAACCCTTAAATCATAAAATACTAAACATAATAACGTATTATTGTTTTAGTTTAAGAGTAACAACATCGATCTACCCAGTTCCCAGTATATGTGCTCAGGATCAAATCTCAGATTGGTTCGACTCGCTGGCAGAGTGCCTCCACTGGAACGTCAGAAAGAGACAAAAACACTTGGACGAACTAACGGACCTCACGCATTCAAGCTCCAATGATACCTTAGATTCCATAGAAAGGGACATCTTAGAAAAGGAAGAGAAGTCATAAAAATTTTTGTTTTCACTAAATCGTTCGGAAAGGGAATCATTTGTGCACAATTTTTTAAATGTTTTCAACTTTTATCAGTTTTATTATGTTTTTAAGAACAATTTTAAGCGGTTAATAAAGGCATATTTTGATTATACTTTCTCAGATGTGTTGTATACATATCTTTAGTTAAAAAAAGAACACTGATGAATAGAAATGCGTAAAATGTAATATTAAATATTACATTTTACGCATTTCTAATGTTTTAGATATAATAATGGTTACCATTGAATACTGAATATCAAATAGCTACATGCCGTATCAAATTTTATATTCGAAAATTTTTAGGTTTGGTTTCTAGACAACCACCAGGAAACGCATGGAACTCTTAAAGTTTCTGTAGTATATGGAGAAAAATACTTACATTATTCTCTAACCTAACTAAGAGAAACCAGCTATCTAAAAGCGAGAGTAAGCAGGGAGAAAACTATACACATATTTTCTTTAGTTTTACCCTGCTGTTCATATCTTCTTTCGATCAGTTTGTACTATTACTATATAATCCCTTTTATATCGTAATATGTCTCCAAGCCTGTCTATCCCGCTAGAGGTTTCATTCTGACATTACTTTGGTTATTCCGTCTAGCCATGTTGTAAGTAGTCTGCCTCGTTTTTTCTTTTCGTCATCTTTTTTGAGAGTTGTTTCTCTCCCATTCGTCTTACTTGTTCTTCTTCTTTTTTCTGTGGGTGTCTTATGCTATGCAGGGTGCAGGCGTTCATGCGGATTGTCGAATATACAGCGATCCTTCTTCGTCTTCTTATTATTGTACTGACATCAGGTATGCCTCACCAGTTTCTTATGTCTCTGGACCATAAATGTTGCTTTCGCTCAGGACCTCTTTGGCCTGCAGCTAGCTATGACATTTACCAGATTTCATTTGTTTTTAGTATCTAGAATATGAAACCTTTCGCTGCTTAACGAGATCTAACAATTCTCTTTGTTTTGACATTGACTCTTTTTAGGACCTCCACATTTGTTACATGCTCCAACCAAAGAATTCTCTAAGCACCATCCACACGATTCGGAGATCTTACTATTAAGTGACCAAGTCTTACTTCCGCACCTATGCAGCATTTTAAGACCCGGTTTCTAAGGTTTAAACGAACTTCATGATGAAAGAGGGATTTGTCAAATTTAATGATGTTATCGCTACTCTTATCTTCACTCCCAGGTCACAGTCCCACTTGCTGTTAGAGATACATATTTAAGAAATTTAAATCTTTCCATATTTTTAAATATTTCTGATTACTATATATTTGGTGCTAAACGCATCCATACCATATTAATTGTTGCTATTGTATACGTTTTATTAGCATTTCTTCTACTTCCATTTACCTTCTGATTTCTTGGTTTCTAATATACTCGTTCCAGTCTAGATCTCCCTCTTCTTCTTAAGGTTCCATCTTCTAACGAAGGTTGGATATCAACATGGCAATTCTTACTTTACTTACAGCAGCTCTAAATAGTTGGCTAGAGCTCAGACTAAACCATTCCCTTAGATTTCGTAGCCAGGAGGTTCGTCTTCTTCCTACATCTCTTTTACCTTTTATTTTGCCCTCTATAATCAAACGTAGTAGCCCATAACGAGGACCTCTTAATATATGACCGAAATATTCAAGTTTCCGCCTCTTAATTGTCTGTACAATTTCTTCCCTCTTATTAACCCTATCAAGGACTTCAATATTGGTAATTTTGTCTACCCATGCTATTCGTAGCATCCTTCGATAACACCAACGCTCAAAAGCTTCCAATTTCTTAATCTCCAGTTGTTTCAATGTCCATGCCTCAGATCCGTAGAGCAAGGTTGTAAAAATGTAGCAGCGCAATAACCTTATCCTTAGATCCATTCTTAGGTCTCTACTACACAATAGATGTTTCATTTTTACAAATTTTGCCCTTGCTATTTCTATACGGCTTTTAATCTCTTGCGTTTGTTCTGCGTTTTGACTAACCAATGTTCCTAGATATTTGTATTTATCTACCCTTTCTATCTGGATATTATTAATATGGAGTGTCTCGTTGTCTTTTGGATGTTTTGTAATGACCATGAATTTTGTTTTCTTTAAGTTCATTTTAATACCATATATGGTACACTTTTCATTCAGCCGTTCCAGTATGTTTGACAGACTTTGCAGAGTTGAAGTGAATATGACAGTATCATCGGCATATCTTATATTATTAATAATTTCACCATTTATTATTAAGATCTCCCTGCTGCTCTTTAATATGTTTCTGTTATAAAGTAGAATTCAATACTTCTCTTACCTATTTCCCTTGGCGATTCCGTCTCTAGTTATCTCTGGACAGCTTCCTTTTGTTGTTAGCTGTATGCCAAGATATAAACATTGATTTTAATTTTTAATTTTATCTTTTTCTTAGTACAGATCTGCAGGCAATTCTGTACTTCCTATGCAAATATATTGTGTTTTGCCTCTGCTTTTAAATTGTCACCCAAAATTGTATTCGCACAAACAAGTACTTGAATATTGTAAATAATTTTTTATGAACCTCACCAATAATTATTGCTTTAAGTTCATTAAACACTGTTCTTGGATTATAGTACGCCTGGATGACGCAAATCACGGATTGGAACAATACAGTTGTCGACAACAACTAAAGTCACTTGAGTAAATTATTGACCAAAGATAAAAATTTCGGTTTACCCCATCATTTTTACCTATAATTTTTAAGTAAAATCAATCAAGACATTTTTTTTTGTTTTCAATCTGTAAAATGATCTTGGCGTATTACTCGTTAAATCTTAATCGGCAGACTCGCACATAACTCCCAAATCATCTTACGGGCATCATTAATATGGTGGAACTAGATACTTTCTTTCAGAATTCACCTTATCTTTTGAGGTTTTAAAAAAATTTCTTGTTTTGACAGTTACTCTACTGATAGTATTGATATTCCAGTTGGTAAACTTTTTAGTTATTTTATACAAGAGTAACTAGCAATAATCCAGCAATTTCCTGTTATTATCTTTTTCTTGTTTTCTTTAAACCTTAAGTTGACGAAATCGCAAAACAAAATTAATTATCTAATACAAATCCGGCTCGAAGGCCCATAAAGATATGGAAGTGATTACCAAAAAATAGGTCAGAATAGGACCCTTACACGATACAACTTTTAGGCTACACTGGGAGTATTAAAGAGACAACTCTTACTTCTCATTGTTCTATCAATAAGTCTAAAATCTAAACGAAAATATGAAATATAATGATCCATTATTATGTCTATTGTCTGTTAATTTATATTTAAACTCGATCGAAATTATTAATTATTAGATTTTTTCAAAATTTACATTTTTACTTAATTTTTAAATTATATTAGACAGTAGGAACTGCAATACTTGTTAAACAAGTCTAAAACATTATATTGGTGCCTTAATCCTATTATGACACAAAACTTCCAATTATTATACTGCACCAAAACCAATGTACACTCTATATGAAATATTTATTCTATTTTTAAGTTGAACGTTTTATATATCTAATTTTGTAACATATGCAGTTTTAGGAAGACCATAACTGTTTTGTGGTATTTATCTAACTATAAATAGAAATTCTTAGTTCCAAGAGCTTGTCTTAAGACAAAACAGCTTGTCATTTAGTGATACTTTCTTTATTGTGTTTTTCAACGAGTTTTTCCTAAAGATTCCGTTTTTTTTTTCTTTTTTGTGTCAATTTTCTACCTTGATCCATACTTCAGGGTATTTCCTGATAGTAGTTTTAGTTTATATTATTAGTGTGATCATCACAAGTCCAAAGGCTAAACTTTTTGTGTTATTTGGGAGCTTACCATCCATTTTTCTAAGTCATACACCAGTTACGGCAAAAGTGCTTACCACAAATAGAGTAAGTAGAGTGTTTAGTTTTAAGTTAATGAGCGTTTTCAAATATTTGTACCGCCTCTGCCCTGGACAGCAAAAAACTGCTGACTTTGCTTAGTGGCAAGCAATTTACTCATCATACACACTACAGTTACGCTCAAAAGATCTTGATGGGCTATATGGTATATACTTATGGTTACAGTCTACAAAATATTTGAATTGTTTCATGGAATCTTGAAATATCACAATGGCATTAATGGTTGATTTAAACTAACATTCTAACATGGCTTTGTTTTTTATTTCTGATTGAAAGTTTTGATATGTTGAGGTACCAGAGTTTCTTATAGCACGTTTTCAGTGGTAATATTCGCCATCATTGGTCTCCGTGATATTATTTCCAACTCTTAATTCTCGATTGTCAACTTTAGTCATTTGGTACATGTGTAGTATCCTACAAGTTTTTTGTTATATGTTGTCATGTAGATTTATCGATTTACAATTAAACATTTAAAGATTTTATTGAATCTTAAAAGACTTAGCAAACATTCTTTTCTTGTCAGAGGTTCCATTCAGTAGGTCACGTATTCAAACCTGGCTGGGCATGGAAATTCTTCTATTAAATAATGAGAAATTGGCGTGTTCATCGGATCGGTACTGGTCCTAGTTATCGTAGGCGGTCGTATAAGGGACTGTTCGTATAACCAATGAAGCCGGCTTTACCTAGTAACAAACATGCACGCATACACAGTAGCCCTTCTTTTTCTTCACGTGCCATCTCCTCTAAGAAGGTTGGCAACCATCATGGCAATTCGCACTTTCGACGCCGCTGCTCTAAAGAGGTCAGCAGAAGTGCAGTTAAACCAAGCTCTTAAATTATTCAACCAGGAGATGCGTCTTATTCTGCGACTCCTTCTACCCTGTATTCTTCCTTGAATTATTAATTGCAACAAGTTATAACGCTCGCCCCTCGTAACATGTCCCAGATATTGCAGTTTTCTGACTTTAACTGTATTTAAGACCTCTTTATCTTTGCCCATTCTTCTCAACACCTCGACATTTGTGACTCTATCTACCCAACTTATTCTTAATATCCTTCTGTAGGCCCATAACTCGAAGCCTTCCAATTTGTCCGAAACATCTTTCTTTAAAGTCCAAGCCTCCAACCCATAAAATAATACGGAGAACATGTAGCATCTCAGAAGTCTTATCTTTAAAGAAATTGAAATGTCCCTGCTGCAGAGTACTTTTTTCAGTTTGTTGAAAGAATTTCTTGCCTATCCTATTCTTGTTTTAATCTCTTCTGTGTACTCATTATTTTCATTAATTATTGTACCCAGATATTTATATTTTTCAACTTTTTTAATTTGTTCTCCATGTATTGTTATGCTTTCTTGGCGCTGTTGGGCTTTTGTAATTACCATAAATTGTGTCTTTTTTGTGTTTAGGGACAGTCCGTTTTCTTCACTGACTTCTACCACTCTACTACTATACTACATTCTACCACTGATTCTTAGGCAAAATTATAACCATGAATGGTTGATTTAAACTAACCTTTTTTGTAGGGTTTTGTTTTTCTATATCTCGTTAAAACTCAGGCTGTCTTTAGTATTTATATGTTATATCGGCATTTAGTTTTTATTAATACGCTTACCTATTTGCCAGCGTTGGTCTTCTTCTTTTTTATTTTCGACTCGTGTTATTTCTTTGTCAGCTTAAGTGTTATGATATATTTCGTGATTTTTATCCTTTAACTGTTTTATATATACCTATTTTATATATGTAAGTTTATTGATTTAATATTAAATATTTTAAATACGTGATATAAAAGAATTTTAATATTTTATTGAATCCTAGAAGCCTTGAAAACACTTTTGTCTTGGGCACAAGTTCTAGTTTTGAGTGAAAAAATTAGATTATTCATCGGAAAAAACAAAAAGCTTAGGTTTTTTAATTGTAATAATATACAACAACTTTGAGTGGTAATTTTTATGATTTTTTGTTAATGGTATCTTGTAAATAAATATTGTATTGTTGATTGGATATTTAGAAAATCCTAATATATTTTTATACCAGCGGTTTAGGTGTAAAATACGTATATAATGTGTGAGGGGTAATAATTAGCATAAAAACGTTAATAACTTAAAGAAAAAGTTTAATTTTTTATATAGTTGTATTTGCACTTTATAAAAAAAAATGTGTCGACCAAAACGTGCCAACTGGTTTTTAAATACACTTTTTGCAATATTTCTTTTGACTTTGTGTTTTATTTTTCCTCTCATACATAACCTCTTTTTTCAAATCTAGATAAGTAATGAAAGTCTACACAAGATGGCATAACTAAAACCTGATACCTCAAATATCTTCAATGGAAGATCTTTTAAAAAAAAAATGATACAAGAAGAGGAAATATTTGATTGTAAATTAATGAAACAAGATCATTAACCCGAATTGGGTGGCAATGTCTTAAGGAATCTTGAATGGAAAGAAGGAATATACGTGGTTGTTACGTACCTGTTTGAATCGTACACATAGGTCTTTTATAGCGGATTTGACCTTGTTTAATAAGATTGCAAGATGGCTATCTGCTCAGATGATCAATAAGTATTAAGAGCGTAGGCTCAAAATTTCGGGCCAATGCTTTTTAAATGCAGTCATTTTTTTTTTCGAATCCTGAGAAAACTAATAAATATTTTTAAAAAATTTAAACGCAGAATGAAAGAATACATTATTACCGAGGGCAGAAAGTCCCTGAAAACTTCTGTAATGTTTATTTTATAAGTTACAGTGGCGAAAAGAAAAGAGAAAATTTAGTGGGATTTTTAATTTCAAATATCTCATTCAAAAAAACTAATTGTTTATTCTAATAGACTTTCAGCCCTCGGTAATAATATAATCTTTCATTCTGCGTTTAAAAAGCATTGGGCCGAAATTTTGCGCCTACGCTCTTAAAAGCCGTAGGAACACCCAGAGTTGGTTCGTAGCTTGTTCTGGACTACAAGAGGGCTCTAACTACCGGAGCGTTGACCAATAAGTTTTGAAAAGAGAGTCAGGTGTGGAGAGAATCGAAAATGATACTTGCTATACATTGGTCGGTCATTCGGGTGTGGAGAGAAACGAAAATGCTACTTGCTATACATTGTAGTCCAAAGTCAGTCTATTTCCCAATTATACTTTGAACATTTTATAAGATAAATGGGAATATATGGCAAGTAATACCTTAATTAAATACAATGTTACTGAGTTAAGAGCCAAAACGAGTTATTTCTCGATTGTCAGTCAATTTAAGATTATTTGCACAATTCAACGGTCCCCATATTGAATCAGCTAGGATAGCATAACAATCTAGAAACACACAATGACACAAGAGCTTTTATTTTATGTATGTTTAAATGTAGATGTTTAATATTTTGACAGCTGTTAATAACTAAACAAATAATCTTTATCCATTTATGGGAAGACGATAAAATAAATTCCATAAAAGCTAAAGATTACTAATTTATTAGACATAGTCCATATTTTTTTCATACTTTCGCCATTGAACATCGAACGCCCGCTATTTTGAAACAGAGCTCTATCACATGAAAATCCAGTAATATTCTCAGTGATACAAGAGCTTTCAAATAATGTATTATGTTCCTACTTACCATATTATTATTATATTTAAAACAAGCTTAAAAAATATCGTCTACCAAAAATATATTGCTTTAAATTTTGCAATTCAGAAAATAGTTGGGGTAGATTTTAGACCCCATGTGTTCCCCAAAATAGGAGAAACACATTACCATGAAGCCTCTCGGGCCATAAACATGCGAAAACCTCTTTTCTTCTTCTTTCTCTTTTTATATAGACAAGACTCTCTAGGTTGTTCAATGTGCCAGCAGTAGGTTATCTTTCCATCGTTTTCATGGTCTTCCTATTGGGGAACAGTCTCTTGCCTTCTTTAGTACTCTATTTGTTGTCACTCGGCTTATATGATTTTTCCATTCTACTCTTCTTCCATCCATCAATTTTAGTGTTTTACAATCAATTGTTTAAGTGTTTTCATCTCTGTTGTTTCTAACAACCTTTTTGTCCTTTCTGTGTCGTGTTTCTGTCGCGTATGCCAATATTGGTCTGATGACAGTTTCGTCAATTCTGCCTTTCAATTCGTTCCGATATTTTTATTTCTTCATATTGTTTCATTCAGGCAACTTGCGGCTCTATTTGCTCTATACCCCATCACTTGTCCTATTATCTGACCTTCCAGTTCCAATTTACATCTTAGTAAATTTGCTGTTATAACTGTACATTTTGTCTTTTTTGAGAAAATTGACAAGTTAAATTTTCTGGCAGTTATATTAAATTGGTGCAGCATACGCTGTAAATTATCTTCACTTTGACAGAGTAGTATTGCGTCGTCTGCATAGCAGATTATTTTAAGTTGTTTTTCTCCCATCTCGTATCCTTTTTTAGTTCTTACTTTTTTTATTGTTTTGTCTATAATCAGGTTGAATAATACCGGACTCAGAGAGGGCACTTTCCTCATTATAAATATAGCGTCGGTGCATGATCTCTTGATGCGACCTAAAACCTTGTTCTTCTGCTAGTGTTGTAATTTCATTCAGTTTATTTGTGATCACTTTGGTTGTCAATTTTAGTGTTATGTTTAATAAATTAATTCCTCTGTAATTTTCCGGGTCCGATTTGTGTCCCTTGTTGAAGAGTATTAGGATGCTTGATCTACATTATTGAGGAATTCTGTTTTACTCACTTTTCCTTCTCCTCAATTTATTTCTTCGTTTGCCGTTACCTTTAGCAAATAGGGATCGAAAGTAGTCTGTTCATGTTTGCTTCTGAATGTGTTTCTTTTCTTTTTCGTCTGATTATTTCTTTCTGTGTTCCGTAAAAGTCGTGTTCCATCTGTTTTGAAAAGCTCTGCCAGTATTCCCTTTTTATTTGTCTAACTAAAGTATTCGTTTCATTTCTGATTCGTTCATAGTAGTTGTATGTATGTTGTGTTCTGCATTGTAAAAAGGTTTTTTTCTTTTTTTTTTACATTTTGTCTTCACTTCCTCTCTAAATCATGGACCTTTTTTTTTAAATAATTTAATGGTTTTTACTTTTCCAAGTGATTGTGTTGCTGCGATAATTATATTATTTTTGAGTTTTTCCCATCTTTCCTCGATGTTATCGTTGTCTAATATTTCATTCCCAGCAATCTTCTCTGATATTATTTTTATGTATAAGTATTGCTAGGATTCCGTATTTAGTCCTTCGATTCTGATTTTTGTTTGTACTGGTGCTACTCTCTTATGTGTGAAATATTTTATGATTCTTATTGTATATAATACTAAGCTATGGTCCCTACCTGCATCTGCTGAGCTGAGGAATCTTACGTCGATTATTTTTAATAAATGTATATCTTTATTGGTTATAACCTAATCTATCATAGATCGCTGTCCAGGGGTGATATTGAATGTATGTTTTTGTTGGTTAAAAAATGTGTTGTTTATTTTAAGTTCGTTATTTGTGCAGAAGTTTATCATCAATTTTTCATTTTCGTTTGTAACATTCTCGTTATGTTTTGCTTAATTCCGGGTACTACTTCATTGCCTATTCGAGCGTTAAAATCCTCCAATATCCTCTGACTTGATCTACTACTTGTTGCAATTTGTGATAAAATGTTTTCCTTGTTGTTTGAGTCTTGTTATTTTCTGGGTCGTATACTCCGATGATGTTCAAGTCTTCCTTCTCCATTCATATCTTTGCTGTTATAATCCTTTCTGATATGTATTGTCACTTTTTGATGTGATTTGGGTACCTTAGGTGTATTGGTAATTCACCTTCTTTCGCCCTGTTTTCTTTTGCTACTCCACTGTATGTATTAACCTAATTTTGATTGTCCTTTTCCTTTCTTTTTTGTTTCCCGTAGAGCGCAAATGTCTATTTGTTTCTCATTCAGCACAGGGTTATTTTTTGGTCCCTTGAGTTGAGCGACCTGATATTCCATGTAGTAATTCTCATCTGAGTTTTGGATATTTTTCGTTTCTCCTTATTTCTTGCCGAGGTCATCTTAATAGTAACAATCCTGTTCTGAGGCTGAACATTGTTTCTTTTAGTAATATTCGTTTTTACGATTGGTAGGTTGCTAACCTTGCTAATCTCTCTCCACATTTTATTCGGGCTTCTGACCGGCTGTGATAATCGCAGAGCTACGCAATCCCACCAGCAATTACTTCAGGCAATGCAAAAACTTGATGAAGAAAATCTAATTTTATAGTCTGCACAAGGAATGTTAGAAGCCTCTTCACAGCTGTCAACTTTTTTTGTTCAAAGAACCAAATATACAACACCTTATTAATAGCTGAAGTAAACTTACCATTTCAGACTATATATATATATATATATATATATATATATATATATATAATATATATATATATATATATATATATATATATATATATGTATATATATATATATATATATATATATATATATATATATATATATATCCGGTTTTTTAGGCGTTACGCCCGTCCGGTAGGGATCTATGGAGGAGTATCACCGAGCCGCAAGCCCTTATCTCTTGCCGTACTGCTCCACCATAGGCCGATCATATCCCAGCATATCCTAGTCTAAGCCGCAGATTCATCTAGAATTTTAAACTGCTGCGTTAGACTTTTTGTTTTCCGTACACCGAGCTGGGGCTCGACCCACATCCACTGAACCATTCGACAGTGAAGCTAATGAGAGGCAGCCGCACAGCCCGCTGAGCTATCTGACCAACCCATTTCAGACTACTTTACTCAAAAAAGAAGAATAATCTTGTATAATGAGAATGTCTGTCTATTACTTATTTTTACGTGCTCGATATGGTTTGATATCATATGTGCTTCCAGTCAATTACATTCGAAGTCAAAATTTGTCCAATATATCAAAAAATTATTTATACTCATTTTACAAAAATGACCGTTAAAATTTTGGTGAGAGCGTTTTTGACAGTATAAATTTTGGCGAATGCTACACTTTTTACAAATTCGGACTAATTAGTCGCTAAGAAACTTCATATCTTATGAAAGAACTTCGAAGGCAGTTGCGTCTATAACAACAGTACGGTCCATTCGCTCAACTCGGGCATATTTTGACAGATTCATAGCTAAAAACCTACAACACAAAAATTCCTAGCTTATAACATTAACAGCTTAAATAAACTTTTATTATAGACTACTTTCATTAAAAAAAGAATTAGTATAAATAGTGGAAGTGTATA